GGCTAGCGCAGATAGCCCTAGTGTAGCTTTGCGCGAAATTAAAACCAATCTAACCATACATCAAAAGTCCATCTCTAACCTTCGAAACATGAGAAATATCATTTAATTGCATAAGAACAGAAATAAACGTATACCCAGACTGCATTATGCTATAACCAAAACGTTTAGCTCCTAGTTCCAAGGGCAGGTAAAGGAATTAAGATTAAGTAATGACACGATCTCAGAAATTTTTTCTTAAAAATAAGAGTTGTTTCTTCAGTTGAAATATGAAACATTTGGTAGTAGTTTATAAGACTCGGAAACTTTGAGGGAAAATGTAGCCAGAAAACGAGAAAGTAATTTCTTTCGCTGTTATATATATTTATATATGTTGGTTAAAATACAAATGTTAGCGTTTTGCGAATAAAATTTCACGGAAATTTGAAAAAACAACGAACATTCAAACATTTAAGTTGTTAACGTGCATGGCCATTCATGTCAACAATTTACAGATAACTTCTGAATATTACTAGTAGGTTTGTTCGTTTCTTTGTGCGCGATTAAGTTTTGGAGTAATTGTGAAAAATGTATGATTAGAAACATTAATGTAAATACAATTATAGGTTAGAGATATGTAATTTCGTAGAATGCATCTTATTATTGGTATTTTCATCGTATTTTTTTTGTCATATCGGCCTCGTTTTAAAAATATGAAGAAAACATTTAACATTCATTTATTAACACCTCGACTCTGATGTTTATTATTTTTTTATGATTCCGAAGGACAATTACAACCGACATCATTGAATCTAAGAAGTAGGCCAGAGTGACAACATCCCCATTTCCTAGGCCTGACTTTATGCCTTCCTATAGCTTACGTGACAACAGGGTTAGAATCGGTGTTCGTGAACACTTGCACACCTCTGGTCTTCAGTTACCAATTGCTGACGTCAGTAGCTCTCGTATTTATATCTTATTCGTGTTTCCCCAAACAACTCACAAACTCACCCATTGTGCTTGTAAAACGTGTTCAGGCCCACGGCTTACAAGTGAGGCGGCCCTCATGCCGTTGGAATCGTCCTACTAATGAATATTAAGGGGGGGGGGGGAGTAAGAGGGTGGAGGGCCTTCAACTAACAGCTGCATATCACCGGACGATCACCTGGTTACGGCGGCTATAGTAACGGAAGAGTAGGGTGTTAGAGTTCTGTATATAGTGCGGACATATGCATCGTTTCGCCTAAAAGCGACATCAAGTTCAACGTTTATAGTCGCGTTAACCAGAATAAATAACGACTCGCTATATTTTTCTGCAGTTCTTGCTGTGTGTATGTGTCTGTGGTGTACGTTTTTTCCGTGTTTCGGCTCTGTGTGAAGCTGTATTGGAAGAGCTTCTTTGCGGCGGTACTTTGTTCCACCATAAACAATGCGTGAGCCTGTCTCTAAGCAACCAACTCTAGAAAACAAAAACAATTTGAGTTTGCCGTAAGTGTTTTTCATATTAAACACGTGTTTCATGCTTTTACATGAAAAAATATTACAATTAATTACTAGGCAAATTACGATCAATGCCTGCATCTTAGGTATGGCAAATAATTAGATCTGTGGTTTTTAGTAGAAGCGAAAAACTGAATTTTCCTATCAGTTATAAAATTAATTGTTTTTGAAGTTCATAAAGTAATATGAAAATATACAAACAGTCATAGCGGTATTAATTCAAACTCGTCTTTATTTTTGCAGGCCTGCTTTTGTGAGATAAATATTGTTATGGTTTACACTAACTTCCTCATTTCCAGATTTGTTTGTTATAAAATTATGAATTAATACATATTAACCATTAAAAAGTATATATATATAATTATGTAAAAACTTCTACAGTGGTTTTACTAAAAATCTTTGATAAAAATTGCAATTAATAGTAATTAGTCTTAATTATGAGTGACAGGCAAACCAGAAGAAGCCTTTATGACTACCCTACCTTAAGTTATCGGTTGTTTTTGGCTCTTATCTACATATATATATATATATTTATATAAAGATAAACAAAATGACATAGTTTCACTTGTAAGTCAACCTTGTTTTACATTCATAATCATAAACTTATTCTTATTTATATGTACTATATATTTTTAGGTTCAAACCCCATTGAGTTAGGAGTTGTCAATCCCATTTTTCATTCATAAAAGAGTAGCATAAGAGTTGGCAGTGGGTGGTGATGATTAGCTACTTTACCTCTAGTGTATCACTGTTAAATTAGGGACAGCTAGTGTAGATAGCCCTTGTGTAGTTTTTGCAAAATTCAAAGCAAATAAAAAAATGAATTGAGTTTTTTTTTATTCACATTCTGAAATGTATTTGCTTATTAGCTAACTTGTGTAGATTACAAAGCAGATTGCTAAGTGAATATGATTATATTTTTTATAAATCAACAGTAGAAAGAAACATTACTAAATTGAGAAATAGAAGACTTATTTTTAATATGAACAAGTAGCATGTAATATATGCAAATAAGATATATTTGTGTTTAGGGAAAGGTATTATAAATAATATAAGGTTATTACTTTTTTTTCACAGAGATGTATTACATTTTACATTACACCTATGGGTATGTATTATGTTTAAAGAAACTTTAAGGAGTAACTAAAATAAAAAAGTAGTAATAAGTAATATAAGTTAAATAGCTAATTTTGTTTTTCAGCCTGCACCCATATACAGATTTTGCAGAACTAAGTTAAGTCATTAACTGAATATATATTCAGATTCTTTTCAGGCTTGGTGTTGTTAAACAATTTTCAAAACAGCACGTTGAATAGCCACTGCACTAACTCCAGATTATGGATTAAATTATCCAAATTGTGGTACTCTAGTTACCTTTTGATATGTACATAGGTACTCATGCATGCACATGTACTTGTATGTACATATACATGAGTAATGGTTAACTCCTTTTCATGTGACTCAAGATTGATCTTTTATATGGTATTTTAATTTTTCTACCAGTTTATCAACTCTCACTTCATTCAGTTATGATGATGTTATTTTAGTTTCAATTAACTGGAAAATTATTGAATAGAAGTGGGAAATGAAAGTAATCATTGTGTCCTTGAACACTTTAAAGGAATGTATGGTAAATTGAAGTAATGCTGGAATGACTATTATCAAGTTATTTAACTAAAACTAAACAAGTTTAGAACTACTATAAATAACTTATCTTTTCTAAACTTTATGGTACTTTACTTTGTATTTAAACATGTAAATTGAAAATGTTAAAGCTATGCTTGTATCTTCTCATAGACTAGAGTTTAATATTCCAATGTGAATGCATTTAGGGTAAGAATTGAAAACCTAATATGTATGTTTTGTAGTCCTATGTAGTAAATACATTATTTGCAAACATCCAAAGAAGTGTTCATAAAAATGCATGTTTCTTTGTCAGAAAATGATACAATGCTCTCCTACCATGTCACAAGATGCAAAATTCAAAGTAGTTTGCCATAATTTGGTAAACTTGATTCTCTATAAATAAACTTACATACAGTTTCCAGACACTTTAACTAAATAAATTTTTTCATAATTTTATTTGCATTCAGACCATATGTTTACTGAATAGTTATTATGTATTATATTTTGCTGCTTGTTTATTATATTTTAACTTGATATATATTCTTTCTCTTGATTTTAGGGTTTTTAAGAAAAGCTCACCAAATGGAAAGGTAAATAGTAACAGAATTTATTTACAATACACACATGCACACACACATATATATATATATTAAATTTAATTTCAAACTTATCATAATTGAAGATGTATGAATATTTAATATATCATGTAACAAAAGAAGTTATGATGTAGTGAATTAATGTTTCTTATATTAGAGAATGAGTATATGTGTATTGGAGGTGGAGGGATGACTGGATGGATGTTTTGACAAACTTTCCAAATTTCATCTGTGGTTATTATACATTTCACAGTTAAAATGACATATTCTATAATATCAATACAATAAGCCTTCATTATTTTTGCCTGTCCTGTCTTTGATAGAGAAACTTCCATGGTTTACACAAGGCTACAACATACACAGGAAAAATGTGTGGTTTATTACACCACTAGTAAACTTAAGATACATGTAAACTAAGTTCTTGAAGTTCAGGGTAGTGAAGTAAAATTGGATATTGTCAAATATTTGTATTATTAGGCATCACTTGCAGCTACTGATATTTTATTGATTTTGTTTTATACTAGCTTGTGTAAAATCTTATTAAGGAAGATTGACTTGAATATGTTTTCAGTTTATCTAAGTGAAGAGGGTATATGAGTAATTTGTCTTTATGATGAAACCAAAGAAATGCAGTCTTTGAAATTGGTTTTTAAGCTATAGGATTACAGTAATATTTGTTTTATTAAAATAATGATAGAAATCCACAGATAGAACTTAAGTAATTTATAGCTATTCAGATATCAGCCATTATATATCTTCACTTGATACATTACCACATTTTTGTAGAAGGAAACAAAAAATTTAGTTTGTATGGAAAACTACTTTTACATTGCTTAAAACAGTATGGGAATCGTGTAGCTATTACAAGGTAATTGTTGATAGACTTGAGTAGTTATAAATACACCTGTGTATTACATTATAGACCTTCACTTATAAAGGTATGGGCACAATTAAATAACTGAATGTAGCACCTTGAGCAATGTCCCCATATTTCAGCTCTGATGCTTACCTGTGGAATGGACAGTAACCCAAAAAGATGTTTGAAATGCAAGTAGCTCCCATCATGTTTGAAATGCAAGTATTTTTTTAACAGCTTTCCACATATTTTTTGAGGTTTTGAATTTAAAGAAAGATATACATTTTTGTTTTTTAAGTCAATATTTTACATAGATTTTACCATATTTTATACTTTTTCTAATATTAAATTTCTATTCTTTCAACTAGAGTCTGTAAAATACATTAACTATGCAGTGGTTACTGCCAGTATAATGTATTATATGCAAGTTTGTACAGGCCTTTTTTTCTGTTGTTGTTGGCTTAGTAATTTTAACTAATAAAGCTAGTTTTTCATGATTGATGCTGCAAACATCTGTTGTATAGAAGAATATGTCTACTTATAAGGACAAAAAGTAGATTTTAAGTGTAATGTAATAATACAATTCATTGCAATATGTTCTGAACAAAATAAATAACTTTGTTTTATATATGTGTATTTTTGTTTGGAAATGGTTCTGAAAGAAAGAAAGGAGTTGTTTTAAAATGAATTTGAAATCTTATAGACAGAAAATCACAGATTTTGTATTGTTGTCAGCAATATATACATCAAATCATGGAATATTTGATAGTGACATTTTTCCTTTTCCTTTAGATAACAGTTTATCTGGGGAAAAGAGATTTTGTTGACCATATAACTAGTGTTGAGCCAATTGGTAAGTGTACCTTGACTATGAATATATTTAACAGTGTTAACAATCTATACATTAAAAGCCACTCTCTTTTTGGAATACTCCCTTTGTCAATAATGCTTGACCCATTGTTGGTCAAATTGGTTCAATGGTTTGTCTTAAGTGGAATTCTCAGATTCAAATCTTAGTTGAGTAGGAATTTTTTATAACTTTTTCTAATTATTTCATTATGTTTAGAGAAAGATATTCCAATATTAGAAAAATCACCATAACCTCTTACTTTACATTAGGGATTTGAATGATTTGTTAACACTTGATTGTAAAGACTGGATGTCACATGTAGAAGTCTTGAGTTCAAATTGTAGTTGGGTCAGTAATTTATGTTAATTTTTCTTTATATATTATATATATTTGTTTAGAAATTTATTATCATACTTGCAATAATCTCTTTGAATATTCAGTAAAGTACGAACACTAATATATATTAAATATTGGATAATTCCATATTACATAATAAACATGAGCGACTTTATGTGTAAAAAACAATTTGAGTATATTTTTAATGCAATAGATAATGCTATGATACATTATTAAAGATATTTTTCACTTTTGGTAAGAGATTTTTAAAAACTCTGTCAAAAAATTTATAAGCATTTTTTTTATGAAAAGTTATATCTTCATGCATTTGCCTTTCACTTTCAAATTCTATACCTTTGCCATAACAGTTAATAAATGGTAGGGTCAGACATTTGACCATGTAAGAATATTTCTTCAAGAACCAGTTTTTTTGCATGATTCCTTCTATAAGGCTTTATAAAAAAAAAGCAGATTTTCACATGGTATAAAAATATACATAAGTCAGAATTCTAATCAAGGACCAGTTACAGGAGATGACCAAATATACACAAAAAATTTTGTTTACGGGAAATATTATATATATATATATATATTTCTACTACAATATAATTAATTTTTAGAAAACAGAGGTGCCAGTGGATTATCTCTGCTGTTGATGACAATTTTACTGATGAAGTGATGCCACAAATGACCAGTCAGGAATTTTGAATAACCATCATAAATAGGCAAATGGAATTCTGATCTATGTAATAGCTAACACTTGTATAGCCAGTTATGATTCTACCATTGTTATGAACCAATGTGAAACATTATAGTCAACCTGTGATGAAACCAATGATTTGCTAGAGCTGTAAAGCAGGAGGTACTTCTGGATTTGTATAATGTAATTACTGATTGGCACTGGCAAGTGCTATCACCTTTGTTAACTTTGAAAAATTATTTTTTCTGCAAAAAGTCTGTGAGAGTTGTACATTATTTCTTAAATATAACTGGTCTTATGTTCAAAACTGAAAATGTAATTTATTTGTACTGTTCATTATCAATTACTTCACCAATGTGAACCAAAGCTTATTTTTTGGTCAGTAGGTTGCAATTGTGTTGCGTTATTCAGCATATCTAAAGAGAAATACTTGGATTAAGGAGCCAATTTCAATTTCAAAAGTTGTTGAGTGTTGGTCTAGTGGTTTGACTGAATGGGCAGTACAAACTGTGAAGTGCATGTATGTGAACCTTTACCAATCTATTTATGTTACAACTACATACTGACCAACATTTTGCTAGTTTTGAATCTACTGATTTCTGTATGGAAAATACAGTTTTCAGTGGATTGGATGTGCATGTATGCACTTTTTCTCAATGTAGATGTACTGCAATGTCCACAGGAATGTGTGTAGTGGCTGCTTTCTGCAATATTTTCATGCACATTGGAAAATGGTTGAAGTGATCATAAGTCAAATACTGAATCACTTGGCACTCACTTGTTATTTATTGTTTTAAATTTTTTTGTTACTTGTCCCACAACACTCATTATGACAAATGACTTCTCAGTAATAATTCAGGTTTTTAAGATAAATCAAAAATAGTAAAAAATACAGCTGTAAGTTTTATCTACTCATTGTTTGTTTCATCGAATGTGAAACATTTGGCAAAATGAAACTTACAGTTACTTATCATATTACATAGTCTTTTTCAACCTATTTAGTTTATAATCTCTATTTATATACCAACAAGAGTTAAATAAATTAACATACATACCTATCAAGTTGTATTAATTTCCCAGTCACTTGAACTGAAGGAGAGACAACCTTTAGTAAGATGAAACTAGTGAAAACAAGATTTAAATTAGCTGTGAAATATGATGAATTAGATTATACCACTCTCTTTTCATTCAACAGATGGATGCATTCTGATGAATTTCTCAAACTATTTAGTTCTTTGAGAGGTTAGAGAGATAATTATATAGTAAAGGTGCTGTCCTTTGTTGTATACACACATTATTTTGATTGTGTTTGTGAGTTTAAATAAAGATTGATTCGTATTTTCATGCATTTGAGTCCATTCTCTTTCTTTCTCAAACTCAGTCGAACTTATAATTGCTTTGTAATGAATATCTTCTTGAATCTCCTGTTATTAAGTGGGCCTATTCCATTACTCTAACCCAACTCACTTTTCTTTGAACATACCATAAAGTCATCTAAATATCTCTATTTACAAGGTTTCATTTTTTGTCATGTGTCCCCCAGTGGGACAGTGGTAAGTCTATGGATTTATAATGCTAAAATCAGGGGTTCAATTCCTTTCAGTGGAAACAGCAGATAGACTGTTGTGGCTTTGCTACAAAAAATACACACACATTTGTCATGAAACATAGTTTCATGATTGAGTCTCACAATTAATGGACTATAGTCCAAAAAAGAAAAAGAGTTGGAAACCTAATTTGTAAAGTTTTAGTCATGAGACCTGGATATCTATTTTTATTTGTATGTATTATAATTGTAGAAGTATGAGTTTGTTATTATAATTTTTTCATTGCATGCACAAATTTTCTATGTAAAAGCATGAAAGTTGTGACTAGACTTTTCTTAAATAATTTATTTTTGTATTCTTTTTTCCCATTGCTAAAATCTGTGGTTCACTACCAGTAATTGTTCACAACACCGTTGTCTATAGGGCATTGTATGTTAGCTACTAGATTATAGACACTTGTAACATCTGATTGGTTGGTAGGTTAACAGAAGAAAAGGCATTTCAGTATTTACATACCACAACAATTGTTTTGTAAAACTTATACTTGTTTCCATGCTAAACTTTCTTTAGTGAGGTCATACTCATTTCTAGTGGTAGTACAGAGACTTTACAAGATAATATGAGTTAGGAATTTACCTCCCTTGAACACACAATCGTACTAGGAATATTTGTTACTGATTTAACAGTGCAATAAATAATCATTGTGAGTCTTCTCTCTGTTGTGGGAGGAATGTTTTTTCTAGAATTAGAGATTAATGAATAATATAAATGTTAATTAGTCTGGTAAAAATCTCAGCAGTTATTTGCTGTGAGGGTTTTTGCATATACACTTGCTTCTATTTCTTTACTGTATATGTTTGCAACTGGTCTCTGCTTAGTATTTCATGAACCTGTAATGTGTTGTACATATTTGATATTCTTCTGCTGGACATCAGTTTGTCTAAATGCCACAAGAATGCTAAATACCAAATCTGTATATACTGCATAGACATTTCTTTTGAATATTTTTTATTTTAACTTCACAGATAGATGAGATAAATTTTTAAGTGAATACTTTGTGCTTTTTTTTTTTCCTAAATCATTTTTTACTTCCGGGTATGACAGATGGAGTAGTTCTGGTAGATCCAAAGTATGGTAAAGATCGTTGTGTCTTTGGTCATGTTCTGGCTGCATTTCGATATGGTCGAGAAGATTTGGATGTCCTTGGTTTGAATTTCCAGAAGGACCTTTACCTTGCATCAGATCAGCTGTGCCCTCCATCAGATGACCCCAACAAGAAACGCCCACTAACTCAACTTCAGGAACGACTTCTCAGGAAACTTGGACCAAATGCTTACCCATTTTATTTTGAGGTGTGCCAAAAATACTTGAAAAATATAGATTTATCAAATTAAGGAAAAAAATCTTTAATTAATTGTTTTTGTGTTTTTTAACTGGTAAGGACAAAAGTGATAGTCTGCAAATAAAATATTACTTTCTGGAATGTAGCCAGGTTGTTTTGTCTCTGTAATTGAGAGAATGAAATATGTTTTATCCTAGGATTTTCATCAAGTTTAGTATAATTTATATTTTGTGAAAAACAAATTGCAGCACTTTGTTTAAATTTATAATTTTTTTGTTATTTGAAACGAAGTTACTTCTTATAGACAAATAATTGACTTAAATAGTGCCAACTATTCATGTGACTGAAAAATATTTAAACTGACTTTTAACTGTGGTTTAGTTTATAAAATAGAACATCATAGTTCTTAATGTTTTTGTTTCTTGTATTGTATAGTAAGTTTGAAATAATTATGATTTACTCTTCAAAGGGATCTAATAAGTAGAAATTACCATAATTTTTCTTTTGCATAATTGTCAAAATCTTTCTAACCTCCCAAACCTCTAATTGTAGCTAATTAGTTGGTACTAGAGACTTACTCTAGATTAAATAAAACAAGCTTTATTTTAATTTCATATCTGTAAATGTGTACTCAAGAACCCACATGCACAATAATAAACAAAACAGATACTTTTAAAGAGATCTTTGGTTGCCACACTACATTCAGGTGCGGGCACTTTACATGTCAGACCCTTAGTATTTGAAGCTCTTTCTCTGCTGGAAAACAGTATTAGCACCAACAAAGAGGATGTCAGTATATGATAAGGTTGTTGTATTTATTTATTTACTTCTTGAATTTATTAAACTAATGTAGATTCAAATAGATTTCCACCTGGCCTTACATCTCATCATTATACAACAAACAGTGGGGAAATATAACAAGATAAACCTTTGAAAAAAAATGTTTTCAAACAATAATAATAATATACTAACTATAGAGATATTGGATATAATCATTACAACTTCTAGTAGATAACATTATTTGCCCCACAGTGGTATGTCTGTGGACTTAAAATGCTAGAAACCAAGTTTCGATACCCGTGGTAGGCAGAGCACAGATAGCACATTGTGTAGCTTGGTGCTAACTTGAAGCAAACAAACAAATAAGTAACACTATTTACCAAGGTCTGTCGTTTATTATAATTTGTTTTGTGTTTTTTGTTTGTAGAACATAATATTTTTTCTCAGTAAAATCCTTGCTTATGAACCAAGTTCTCATAAGCTATGCATGTGTGCATGACGTTTTTGCTGCTCTGTTTTAGAGATATGCATAGTCTATTTATTCTCTTTTAATAGTGTAATATTTGTTTCTATACAAAAGTGCTTTTATCTGTGACCAGAAGAGACCCTAAATCATTTCTGTATGTTTTTTTTTTTACTTCTTCTGTGGTAAGATTAAAGCAATCAGTGTAAAAACTGCTCTGTGCATTTCAAACAATAATGTGTATTTCATAATCTCTCTTTACATCTCTCCTTTTTCATTAGCTTCCTCCTCATTGTCCAGCCTCTGTCACATTACAGCCTGCTTCAGGTGATACAGGAAAACCATGTGGTATTGACTATGAACTGAAAGTCTACATAGCAGACACAATGGAAGAAAAACCACATAAAAGGTAATGGTAGTGTGTCTTTCTTGTAATCAGTTTAATATGACACCTTGAACTACATTTTTATCCTATTGGGTCTTTCAATCATTAATTGCAGCAGGGGAACTGCTGTTATAACTTAGCAGTCAAATAATTTATACTCTTTAAAGGTAACTTATCATTGTTAATATTTGAAGTGAATAATGAAAAATATTAACTTTAAAATTTATTTTTTGTCTTTAATGAAAGAGATAATTGTCATGCTTTTTTAAAAGATTGTTATGCCAAATATGTTGTATAAAAATAAATTAATTATTGTATTGTATAAACAATTCTTAAAGTACATACCTCTTAACTTTGACACCTGCCATTTTGAAGCTACATTAATTGTAATTGACTTTGAAATTCCCACATTTCTGGGTTTCAATTTGCTATTAGTTCTGAGAAAAAGTGAGAAAGTTTATTAGTGCATAAGTTCGCATACGAGAATATGAATGTAGACATTATTATACAATTAAATGTTTCTAGTAATAAAATATAAGCATTTTCTTGTGACCAAATAAATAATATTATCATTTATTACAACTGCTTTCTTCACAAATATTCTAGAAAATAACATAAATCTGTTATTTACCTTTTGCCTGTGAGGATAATTATCCACATTGTTGACTTTTCATTGTCAGGTATTTAGTTTAATTTTGTCAACTCTAGACTTTCTCTTCATTTAAAACTCTAACATACTTCCACTTCTTTGATCTTTTATTAATTGATTCCTTTCAGTGTCTAATTTTCACTGTTATATTCATTGTCTTAATGTTTGTTAAAGAAACATCTGATATTTTATACTTTTTTCACGAATTTTTTGGTCAAGTCTCTGAAAATCATAGTATTTTGTGATTTCAATTAATATATTCTTTGTTTAATTAAAGTGTAACCATATGACTTGAAATATTATGATATGCCATGAGACAGCATTATTACTCCAGACTATGCTTTTAAAATTTAAAACTTATTTTGCTAGCATTCTGTTCTTGAATAAGATCACATGTAAGTGGTGAAAATATTTCAGTGTTTTTATTTTATTTCATTTTTGGCATATTTTTGTATTATAGTTAGCTCAATTTTTTTGTTAATTTATGTGATTTATTCTTCATATTTAATTACTTTAATTAATTTCAAGAAAATTAATGATGTTTTTATACTACATCCTAAGGTAAATACCAAAAATATCAAGCTTAGACTATATGTAATTTTGGCTCTCAAACTTTAAAAATAGGGCAATTCTGATGCCTGGAAATTGTTGAACACTTTGTGACATAATTTTCATTGAACATATACTTGATGTAAACAAAGCAACTCATCACATTTAAAAGCTAAATACGTTTTAGGTTCTGAAATGGTACTACCTCTCTCACCCAAAGCTATTTTGGCCTTGAATTGCCCTCTAAGCATTGCTAAAAAATGCACACCAATCTTTTATACCTCTTGTTTTTGCACCATTGCAGCAACAAATCATACTATGGCACTTATACTAGTGCAGGTAGCTCCCTTTACCATTGCAGCACAATCATCATTTTTTTTATTGCCATTCTAGTGTATAGACATATCTTTTAACTCATTCCCCATGTGACTACAAGATTTTAATTGTGCTCGATCACAACTTTATATCAGTTCAAGTTCAAGTTTAAACTTCTTGTGTTTGATTTCCATTGTTTCTACTCATCTGTTTTAGAAATGTTTCTGTTTCCGAATTCTGCTTTGTTCATATGAATTTGAGATTTAATATGGCAGATGTCAAAAGTCCTGCCATAAGTAAAATACTAGTCCCTAGGTCTAAGGGTTGACGATGTTTGCTGGGGAAGCACAGACTTTAGTTCATAGGGAGTTCATTTCTGACATTCGACTGACAATTTTCCTTTCATGTTACGATTTTTGTGGAAATTGTCTTTCTACAGCACTTTCCACCTGTTACTGCCCCTCCACGTAATCTGCTGGGTTAGGTATTGTTCTTTTTCTGGAAGTCTGTGGTAAGTTTTTCAGTGTGTATTTCTCACTCCCTGTAGGCATACCCATGTTCATTGACTTTCTGTGAGCTTGCGTGGATGGACCTAATTTCTGCACCTTGATAATTTAGGTCATTCATGTCATCTCTACTCAGTGTTGGGTAAGTTAGATTTTTATACCTCTTTTACCATCTGGGTTAATTTAGTTTAAACTTGCATTTGGAGTTTGATTATTCCTTTGTTTTTGTTTGCATTTTACTTATTTTTACTGTTAATGTTATTGTGTTTGTAAGTTTTTTTTTCTTTACTACTATTCATGTCGAATTGGAGATTAGATTAGTTAAACTTTGTTATTGTTCTTTAAGGTCAGTTTTATTTTTGTGTCCTTTATCTTGTATCTTTTTTGGGTGGACTTGTACGTTTGATATTTAAGGGTCATTATCTTCTATGTTTCTTTAGTGGTTTTGTACTTTGGGTGTTACTTATTGTTTTCTGTTTTAGATCAAGTTTCATAGTTTTGCAGGTTTGTTATTTTTCTGTACTATATAGAATTTACATGTTTCTATGTTTTTTTAGTTTGTTTTTTTAATGAGTTCTTTCTCTCAGTATGTTTAGTTTATGTTTCTTTGGCTACAATTAATGACAGTTCCATGGGTTCCACAGGTTCTGCCTTGTATTTTGCTCCCCCTCTATCCACTTCCCAGATCTCCATCCCTCTTCCTCAGGATTGTACCTTGCCCAGTCGTCTTGCCGAGTTTGCTCAAGACCTACTACACAAAGGAGCTATCAAATTGGTGGTGCCCACTCAACCAGGATTTTATTCCTGTCTATTTCTTATCTCCAGAATATACGGGAGATTGGAGTCTTCTCATAGCTCTTTCCTGGCTGTATTCTTACCTGGAGACACCTTGCTTCACTCTAGAGTCCTTCCTTTCACTTAGCTTAGTTTTTGACCCAGTGTCACATTGGTTTTCTTTGGTTTGTCCATGAGGGTTCTGTCTTTCAGTTCTGGGTTCCGCCATTCGTCCTTTTTTCAGCTCCATATGTGTTTTGCTGAGTGGTATGCTTTTGCACGTCATCTTCACTCACTAGGTCTTAGGACTCCCTATTACATGGGTGACTGGCTTCTGCTCACCTCTTCCCATGACCAGTCAGTTGCTCACACCTGCTTACTTCTTTGAGAAGATGTTTGTGGTGTTTTTTATCAAGTTGGAGAAGTCCTTTACTATCCCCTTGCAGTATTTTGTTCATTTGGGGGTTTGCTTCACTTGCCATCTCAGTTGAGCCCAGTCTTCTCCACTTCAGCTCTGGGATATGGAGTGGACAGTCACAAAGGCCCTACCTTCTCCCTCTCTCTCTCTGCATAAGAGGTTCTCCCTTTTTTGGGGTTGTGGACTTCCTTGGAAGCTCTAATTCCTTTAGGTCAGGTGCACATGCATTCCCTTCATTGGATGCTTCTCACCCAGTAGAACTTCTCCTAAGATACCTTGGACCATCCCATCTCTTTCTCACCTGGGCTGACTTTACTTGGTGGCTCGACAGGGACTTGACCACTGTGGGGGTTCCCATTCCTCTGTCTCTTACCAAGTTTCACCTGTTTACAGATGCTTCTTTGGGGGGCTTTCCTTGATTCCTCAGATATTTCAGATTGGCAGTCAGTTTAGGAGGATACTCTCCACTTCCACATTCTGGGAACTGTGCGCAGTCCATTTGCAGAAGTGGGTGGTTATGGTTCATTCTGACAATTCCAATGTCATCAGCTATATTACCAAGCAAGGCGGGACCAAGTCCAGACAGTGGATCTCCTGTACTAGACCACCGACTATGAGTTAAGGATCTTGTGGCTGATCGCTTATCACGTCTCAACCAGGTTCTTCTCACGGAGTCATCCTTCTATCCTCAGGTTTTTCAGTGGGTGTGTTCTCAACTGGAAACTCTGGATATATATGTGTATTCCATTTACTGGAATGCCAAACTTCCCTCCTTTTTGGTCTCTAGTTCCTCACCCCTCAGCTCTGCATGTGGATTCTTTCAGTCCAGATTCGAAGGGTCATCACCTATATGCCTATATGAGAAAACAAACTTCATGGTCATATGTACCCACTCTGTGTGAAGAGGGCTTTTGTTGCTATATTTCATATTATACAATATCATAATATGCTCAATCCAAGGTGCTTCTCCTGGATGTTTTTTGGTCAGGCTGACCGCACTTGTTGTTCATTAAATAATTTTTTTTTATGCAAAGTGCTTCCACTAGATGTTTTCTGTCCAGATGGACTGCACTTGACATACTCAATAATATCACAGGGTGCTTCTCCCAGATGTTTTTGCCTGGGTGGATCTAACTTGTTGATCTCTAAATAACTGAAATACAAGATATGAAGTGGCCAATTTTATGCAAAGCACTTCCACTGGATGTTTTTGACGAGATGGACTGCACTTGGCATAATCCGATGTATCCCAAGGTGATTCCCCTGGATGTTTTTTGCCTGGTTGGATCGCATTTGGCTTATTCATATACATTTATGACCGTTTAGCCCTAGCCATGTATTCATATATCTGATTCCAGGCACCTTCTTCAAGTCTGACTATGATTGTGTCACATGCTCATGCTTCTTACATATGTGAACATCTTACATACTATTTGTTGTTCACAGGTGGAATCTGTATTACATGACATGGTGCCTGTCTCTTAAGTTCTGCCCTATGTGTCTTACTTGTTCGTTAAAGAGCATACCTGTTCCAGAAGTAGCACTATACCCCATAGGTGTGTCTCCTTTGGTAATTGTGGCACATCTGTTCTTTCACAGCGGTTGCTCTCTGCTTGTTTGATTACTTTTATGCCTTCACTGACCCTTGCACCTTTTCAATGTGGGATTCTAGTTTTGGAAGTTAACATTTTCTAACATGTATTTCCGATAGGTACTTACCCACTTGCTGCCCTTCCTCCCCACTGGTTTATCAGTGTTTCTGGCTTGTATCTGCCAATTCTCAAAAGTGAGGATTGTGCTGAAATGGTAGAGGGAGCAACCTGCACTAGTATAGGTGGTGCAGTGTGATTGGTGGAGGGTAATCACATAGTCAGCAGGTGTTGCTGCAATGGCACAAAAATGAAAGGGTATAAAAGACTGGTGTGCTGTTGAAAAAATTTAGCAATGCTTAGAGAGCAAATTAAGCTAGAGATAGCTTTGAATGAGAGAGGTAAGTACCTACCAGAAATACAGTTTAAGTGTTAGACAATGTTAACATTTAGCCATGAACTATGGTTGTTGGCTGTAACAAGGACAACATGCATTAACTTGCAACTAATCTTAGGCTTTTTCAGTCATAGATAGCTGCAGTAATGTGTAAAAATGGGAAGCTGATAAAATATTGTACTTTGTGTTCACACTATTTTTGTTGCAAGTATTTACATAATGAATCCTGAGATACACAATTGACTTGATACAAGAAACCTTTATTAAAATAAAATGCCATACCAATTGAAAACCTAGTTCCAGTCACTTCTGTATTACCACTGCACATCTCAACTTATTTCTGTATTTTTTACATTATATCCTTACTCCAAATTCCAATGGTTCACAACAGCTAAGTTTCCTAGAGTTTCAGTTTTGCTGTGTTTTGCAGATCAAACAATTCAACTGTTGCACTTGTAAGTAAGCTGTCTCCAAGTCCATTAAAACTAATTATGTTGTTATTATCATGGGAATTTATTCAGGTCTTAAGTACCAGCTTCCTCCAATTGTTCATTTTTATTTCCTAATCAATGTTAAAATCATTTATGGATTTTCTAGGAAGAGGGTACAACTGTATGACTCCATTACTTTGCAACCAAATTTTAAAATTTTGTCACTCCCTGACCCATTAATCTTTGTTTACACCATTCAATTTACCTCATCTCTTTCTAGAAACTTATTAAGACTGCCACAACTAGTAGTTTAGTCCTTAATAAACAAAAGTGCATGGCTTGTTTAGATTTCACATTAACGACCTATACTGGAAATTGTTTTTATTGAACCAAAAAAAAGTGAACTTGTTGCAGTTATGATAAATAACAGAGACAGTGAGTTTCTTTGTGATATATATATATTTTGTTTGTGAAAGTCAAAGACTGCAAATAGAAATATTGATTTAATATATGAATTGGTCTTTAAACATGTTTCATTCATTTGCTCCCTCAATTGACACATTAATTTGACATTTAAGTGCAAAGTCCATATTTACTTAAACTTTTTTGTTTTATATTGATAGTTCAATGGCTCTATGCTGTTGTCTTCAGCCTAGTTAGAAAAACTATCCAATTCAGTTTACTGAATCACGGTCAATATTCTTTTTCTGAATGGAGATAATTTCTGTAGATTTATGTTCTTTTTAAAGGGATTATTTAGCAGTTCAAGTTCCTTATGAAATTCTGCTGTTATGAATATTTATAACAAATTTTGTTGAACATACTTGTGTTGATTTTTTTATGAGAAATTGTGTTAAAATCACACATAGATATTTGTTTAAACTGTTTGGATTTTCTTTTTTTGTATTCTTTCAAATAGGAAGTTATATTTTTAATTCGTCATCTAAAAAATCACCATTAATTAAAATTAAAAATAAAACAATTAAGTGTCTTTAGCAATTTGTTCAAAGTAAAATATAAAAGAAGTTTTGTGTATACTCTTTTTAGGAATTCTGTAAGGTTAGCCATTCGAAAGGTGATGTATGCACCAAGTAAGCAAGGAGAACAGCCAAGTGTTGAAATCAGTAAAGAGTTTATGATGTCACCCAATAAGTTACATTTAGAAGTGTCTCTTGACAAAGAGGTTTGTTTTAGTTCTGCATTTTTCTAAACATTAAATACTTGTTGATTTCTATTCACAGGACATTAAATTAATATCTGTTCAGAACCAAATGTTCCTAAAATAAAAATCCTTGTGGGCATGTACAACATTATAAGGATATGCCCGATTGGCTCAAAAAATATTGAGGTGCTCGTCTCAAACGTATTATGTAAAGCAACATTGTTGTTTTCAACCAGTATTGATTGATGTACTCTGAACATAGATCTAGATTTTGTATTTTGATATCGTGAGTTTATGATTGTGCAGCCTGAAACTATTGCAAGTGCAGGATTTATTTTGCTTATGTTGTCTAATCAATTTGTCGATCATTTGGCTGATTTGTGCCATGTTAAATAGCCTATCTCGGGCAATGCTAGTTATTATAGATATGTGGGAACCTATATAAGTTGAAATGGCATTTATATCTTGCTTATGAGTGTAAGTAATCAGAAGAGTTTGATGTATGTGGCTTTCTAACTGTAGCAGAAGCCTGTGAAGGCTGGTTGTTTGGAGTTCGACTTTAAATTCAGTTACAAACAGATTTATTTTAAATCCAGGTATATAGTCACGAGTGGAGTACACAAGTCACCAACTCGATGAAGTTTACAGTAATAATAAAGACTGAGGTTCAAAAACACAAACAACACTTTAATTCACTACACTAAGATACTCAGCTACATTGAGGTTACTGAAGGTATCTTGAAAAGTTTCATTATCGTAATTACTAAATTCTTCTGTCTGAAAAGGTTTCTGTTCATTAATCAAACCATCAATAACATTTATTAAATCCTTCATTATAATTAATAAACTATCAATTAAAACAGTACGAGGAATGTACTCAGACATACGTTAATTTATAAGCTCTTCGTATTACTATTTATTTTACATTATTTCTTAACCATGTTATTCGACTGAGAGACGTAGCAATGAGTTTCTATGTTAAAAGTTCTCAATGTTTTAAGTACAGACATTTTCACAAGTAATGATATTGGAGACACTATTGGATCTGGAATCATTTGATGACAAGAACTGCAGCCTATTCTTAGTGGTTAAAGAACTGACTTTTAGCACCAAAACAAGGGGTTTTATGCAAATATTTTGTAGTCTTACAACTCTAATTAGTGTACACATCCAACTCACAAGTAGATCTGTCACTTCATTGGATGAATTTTGTTGACTCATTGTAATTCTCAGAACTAGAACCAAAACTGATTAGTAATTGGTTATGATTGAACACAGTAAGTCGGTGGCCTGTTTGCACGAATTTGTTCATGTCTTCTTTCCAATCAAAATTTCACCAGTGGTCTCTGATTTCCTTTCTAAGTCTTTTTATATATCTTATTTCCTGTCTTTAACAAAGTTAACATAAACTTTTTCATAGCTAATATCTGTCCATTGTACAGAACCCTTTAGAAAAGAAAAGAAGAAGAGAAAAAGAGAGGCCTCAAAAGCAATGGATTTGGTAATAACATTGCTTTTGGTGGTAATAGTAGATATGAATTTGGCAACCATAATATTGAGTGTTTGTTGTGAATGTTCATGTAATTTAATTAAAAAAAGAACAACTTAGCAATAAATAGACATGTAGAATATTTGAAAGGTACTATGTAAGTGATGCCTTTTTAGAAATTCCAAACCAAATACCCTTTTTAGTTTAATTGAAATAAAAATTATGCCTTAGCAGAAACTTGATGAGGAATAATTTTACAATCCCACCTTTTTATTTCTCGTGTACTTTTCTAATACTCAGTACTTTCTTGTATTTTAAGATGTCCAAAACTTCACTCATACATATATATGTATTAAAATAGTAGTCAGATAATTTATTTTATACTCCTAAACATTCATACAAGAATTATACTTACTTTTCACCATAAAAGTTCATTGTAGGGTGTAATTTATGTCATAATAAATCCCAACTTATACCAGAGCCGAATGAGATGGGTTAAGCAATAAAACTTCTAACAATAATATAGAAAAGTAGTTTGATTAAATAAATACTGGATTCTGTATTAATTTTTACAAGTGCTGAACTGTTTAAACACTATACTTTGTTTGTTTGAATTTATGCACAAAGCTACACAATGGGCTATCTGTGTTCTGCCCACCATGAGTATCGAAACCCGGTTTCTAAAGTTGTAAGTCCGCAGACATACCGCTGTGCCACTGGGGAGCCTCTATACTTTGAAAAAAAAAACAACTGGAATGTATATTCTATTTTATCAGTAAAACATTTTCAGTTTACTACAGTTATAAATCTTTTCTACATTAGGATATATTACAACTTCGTTACATAGATTTGTAAAACTTGTATTTCAAAAAATTTTCAGCTCTACTATCATGGAGAAGACATTGCTGTCAATGTTCACATAGCAAACAACTCAAAAAGGACAGTAAAAAAAGTTAAAGTATCTGGTATGTATAATTTTTTAACTGTATTAACATAAATACTGAAGTCATTAACTGGTCATTCATTACCAAAAATTTTCATTATCTAAAGCCTCTTTTACAAATGAAAATGTGATTTCTTAAATCTATTATCACTTCCTTAAAAACTTTTTTATATGCTTGTTTTGTTGTCCTGAAAGAAAAGATTGAACAGATTAAATTAGGTGTTTATTAACATATTTAGTAATATACTGTTTTCTAGTTCTTGTTTAAATCTTATTTAGTTATTGAATATACAGACATAAAATTCTTTGTTTCAGTTCAACAGTTTGCTGACATCTGCTTGTTTACAGTAGCACAGTACAAATGTACGGTGGCTTCCTTAGAAAGCGAGTGAGTGCTTCAAACATCTAGCTCAAATTAGAAAACAAAAATAATTTCACTGAACCAAACAATCAGTAACATGTTAAATGTACTTTGTGCCAGATTTTTATTTTTTATTCCTTGACACTCCAAAACATTTTTTATTTTTGATGATATTTATAATGATGATCCAGAAATAGTCAAATGTTCCTGTCAATCAATTTATCTGTATCTACATACTTTTATATATTTCTTTTTTTTACAATATTTCTTTTTGGTCAATCTGATTGCGGAAGCCAATCAATCTTCATTCATTAATTTATCAATGTGTGTATTTATTTACTTACTTATCTCTTTGTCAGTAAACCTTTCTAGAATTAACAGTTTAGTATTAACAAATTATTGTAACAATCAATACTTTACTATTTTATAGGGTTGGCTGTCCTGTTGGTCCTGGGTTTACATTATCAAAGGTTTATTTTCTGAAGCCCCTGTTAGCTAATAACAAAGACAAGCGTGGCCTAGCATTGGATGGACAATTGAAACATGAAGATACAAACTTAGCATCATCTACTATGTGAGTTAGTACTGTGTAATTCTGTGAACATTAATGAAAATCAGTCTTACCTTGAAATTAGTTTCCAAGATATTAAGCAATTCATTTGAGTATTAAAAATGCAACTGGTGTCAGCTGATAAAAAGTGGTCAAAATTGAAAACTACCTTAGAAAAGAAGTAAAAACTTGTAGCTAGAATTAGTAGTTATCACTTGATGATACATAAGTTACATGCAGACACGTCTGTTAATCAATAGAATTATGTTATTAATCCCCAGTTATAAAAGTACTAATATTACATAAAAACATTTATTAAATTTATAGGTAGAGACTATCTTCCTAAGTACCAGGTTCAGTCTTTTATTAATATAACAGTGACAAGATTAATGATTAAACAATATAATTTTATTTAGTACATTAAAAAATACAAAAACACTTCCTTGAAGCCCAGGTGACCTTCATGATGTCGCTCAACTTCTTTTATATATCACTCATTCAGTTACACCATTATTCCCAATTTACTCCTGAAGAAGAAAGGTCCACCTTTCAAAAGCACTTGGGCTATAGGGTTTTATCATTTTATTTTCTTTAATATAAAAGACAGTAGAGTTGAAAGAATTCAGAAAATTACAAGGGTCTTTGTGATAAAATACTTCTGGAATTAACTGGTACCCTAATGAGGGTGTTTTTTACTTATTTTTTAGGTGAAGTGAATAAATTATGTCGTAATTTGTATTTTCCAATATATTTATTTTTCAGTTGCATCAGTTTTAGGATCTCCCATTGGGTCAGTGGTAAGTTTACAGACTTACAATGCTAAAATCCAGGGTTCAATTCCCTGTGTAGGACAGAACACAGATAGCCAAATATGGCTTTGCACTAATCAAACACATGCCTGTTAGCTTCAATGCTCAACTAATTATAAGGCCAGGATTATTTTATTTTTTGTCTTACAATCTTGCCAACTTCAAAATTTTATTTCTGATGCAGGGTTTCGTGTTTCTGAGATAAAAATAATGATGTGATTTCCCTTTTTTTTTTAATTTCCAAGGTGGCATTTTGCTCATGAAAAAAAAAATCGAATGTAGTAAAGTAAAATGATTGAATATTATGGCAACACATATACTGTAATAATTAGAGAAATATGTGCTATTTTTACGTACAAATGTGCACCACAATCCTGGATGCATATTTTTACAATGCTATTTTTCAAATTAAAAAAAGGATCAATTACGGTATTTTTCACTGTGTGGAGCAGATAAAACAGTCACATGCAAAATGGCGATATGGATCTCAGTAATTTGTAAGGAAAACCTTAGATATTGTGAGACATTCAATGCAAAAAAATTAGTTTAGATGAAACCATTGGCGATTTTATAGGACGAACACTGCATAAAGACGAGAATGTCATGGACAGGGGGTTTTAGACACCTAAATTACATGCACATTAGTAACTGAAGGCACAGTTTTATTTTCCTTCCTCTGACCTCCAGCTTCATTGGAAAATTTTTGTAAATCTAAAACTAAAAAAGCCTGGCCTAAAGATTATTCATGTGAATATCTGTGCAAATCAATATTATTTGTTTTATTATACATACACTATTATGATCTGTAATATGTGTGAGTCTAAGTAAAAAATTACTTTTGTTCATTTTCATTAGTATTGCAGATCTATCTCAGAAAGAAAATTTAGGAATTATTGTGAAGTACAAAGTGAAAGTGAAGTTATGTCTAGGACCACTTGGTGGGTGAGTTAAAAATTTTAAACTTGTTTCAAAAGCAATATGTAAATTTGAAAAGTGACAAAAACCACTTAGGGCGATTTTAGACATTTAAGTTTTCGTAGATTTTGTGCACTAGCTTACTGAGAAGAAACGAAAATGATAACACGTTTAAAAAAAATTATTACAGTTTTTTTTAATCTTGTGATTAAAATCGAACTAAAAAATGCAAATTTTACTTTTCAATTGCTAACTTTTTGTTTGCCTGCTTAACTGATGAGTTTCCAAAGATTGTAACTCTGGATAATTTTGATATTTTCGTTTGAGCTCTTATAAAGCTGCTGGCTTAAAATATTCAGGTAAAATTGATTTTAATTCATATGATAATACCAGTAGAATTATTAATAAAAATATGAGACTGTAACTAAAGAAGGAGTGATTATTTTATGAGGTTTACACTGCCCATTATGTTCTTTGTGTTTTACTAAAGATGTACTCATTCTGTAAAGAACGTACTAAAACTTACTATTCTATACTTTTGAGATGATAACTTAAATAAAATGTAATCATTCTGTAATAAAAGAGACATTGCTATTAATTCTATGTATATGTGACTGTAACTAAAGAAGATTTAATCATTTTAGAACATACTGTTACGTCTCTATGTTTGTTTGTTAATTTTTCTACGATACGAGTCCTTTCTTAAATAAAACTCGTTTATTCTTCCTCAATACAAGTTTGTAATGCACTTAATTTTCACAGTTACACACACTATAGTTCACAACAATTCACTCACTTTCTACCGTGCTTGACTTAATTGTCCGTCTCCGCCAACTATAGTTCCGATCTCTGTATCTGCTATCCTCGGTTCCCGCCGACCGTAACCGCTCACCTTGGTTCCCCACTCTCTCTTTTTCTCTCTGCCCCGCGCTCCCTGTCTAGTGCACTTATATACCATAATACCGCCTGTTCTAGAACTTTCTAGGCTCTCAACACGTGCTACCAGCGTCACTTAACTTCTGCTGTCATAACACACTGGCGAATCTTCTAAAATACTCGGCACGTGACCCCCACTGTCGTAACACACTAGCAAATCTTCTAGAACACTCGTCACGTGACCCCCCGCTGTCGTAACACTGCCCCTTCGTTAGTATTGTTCGTCCCGAACAATAGCCACTTACATTAAACCAATAAACGATTAACAATAACTTAATTAAATGTACAGAATTTACAAACACAAAATCAAAATTCAACAAAGTCTTTTAATTTTACGGGAATTATCTTCTTCCGTACTGGTCTCCGTCTCGTTGGCTTCTGCTTCAAGTGGGGTTCGTCTGCTTCATCAGGAAATCTCCTACCATTGGTAACAGTCACATCAGTGATAATAACTTCATCAAGGGCTTCACTGTTTCCCTTCTCAAAACTGAGTAGAGTTTCTTCTTCGACAGTGGCTTTTTCAGGTGACACGTCTTCAGCAGCATCATTTGTTCTGTTGTTCACTTCGTCCCAACTGAAATGTCCTGGACTGTGATAACACCAAAGCCTGTTGGCATGTACCACCTTTGGCTTACCTCGCCAACCACATTTTATCCAGAAAGTCAAATCTGAAAAACGATCCACTATGTCATATGGACTTTCCCATGGAGAAGACAACTTAGGAGACTTCCCTTTG